AAAGGATCTCAGGTTAGCAGCTGGGATTTATGTCCCTCAGGATAGAACCTGTGGCAAGCAGATCTCAGCTTGGCTTGTCACCTCTCTCAGCTGGTAGTGCCAGGGTTTCCTGCCCCTTTTGTAGTGGGACAGAACTGGTCATGGTGGCACAACTGCTGTAAGGACAAGGAGTTGCTTGGGCAAGGAGGATGTGGGCTGAAGATATCTTGAGACTTCATGTCAGAGCTGTCACTTGCCAGAATGCCATGCAGGAGTGAAATTTGGGGAACTTAGCAAAACATCACAAAGGCTCTGCAAGGTTTTCAAATGAGCTGTGGTGACAAGAAGGGGAAATGCCCAACTGGTTTTAATATCCAGCTTAAGGGAAGTCCTTTTGTTAATTTAGTCTTGATTTAAAGTGGCCTGAGGAGGTGAAATCCTCTTGCCTCATCTGGGTCTAAGCTGGGTGCTGATAAGCAAAGAGCTGTTTTTCCCTGACAGCCGCTTCTGCCAAGCCAGAAATAGCCTGCCCAAGCAAGCTCACCATAGCAGCATTTCTCATTCAAAAGTTAATAAGCTTTGAAATTGGATTTTAATCAACTAATCTTTGATCCTAGGCACTAGAGCTCGGTTAGGAGTGTCCAGTAAACCAAGTTACATCTTTCTTCTCTGCTGTCTTCCCCCCCACAAAATCTGGCAAAGGAAAGGTTGAGAAATGTTTCAGCATTTAAGGAACTGTGCATTTTAGGGTTTGTGTTGTCCCTGTTCTTCTGATCTGATCTGTTCCATGGATGAATGGAAAAACTGATCTCTGGTGGACATTTGCTCTTCCAAGGTTGTAAATGTCTTTTATCAGCTCCTTTAGGGAACAAGGATGGACTTCTTTGTTAAAAAAGTTTTGAATTCAATCGGATGAGGTGGGATGAGGGATAGAAGATCTGCTGGGGCCCTAACCATATCCCTCCTATTCCTAACATCAAAATAAAGTACCATAAATTCTGCATCCCACAGAATCATGACATAGCTGAGGTTGAAGGCCCTCTGGCATTTTGCCAGGCTGCAGGGGAAATGATACCTGGACTTCAGGGTTATGTAGTTACACTTCCACTCAAGGGATGGATTCAGTTCAGACCTCTCTAACTCACTCTCCCTCCCCATAAATCTGAGCAAACACTCCTGTCTCAGTTTACCCTCCAAACACTTTTCTCTTGATCAGACAGAGGCAGTTTTTATTTTTTTTTTAAAAGCTATATTTAGATTTGGAACAAGCTTCTGTTTCCTACAGAAATACTGGCTTAGTGAGCTCCCCAAGGACCACACAGTTCATCCCTGTGCTTGTGGAATGGTCAAATCAAAAGGGGGAAGGTTTGTTTGGGCAGCAGTGTGAGCACACAGATGCACTGCACTGCTCACATGCTGAGTCTTGTTATCTTGAGTCATCCCTGACACTGCTATGGTGTCCAGGATTGGGGTGAGCTCTCTAGTGGGCACCTCTTTCCCTAACACCACACACCTGGGATGCTGGGAGAGTGGCACTGGGGCCCTGGAGTGGGCTTGCCATGGCTGGTTTGGCTTTGATGGGATGCTGGGGAAGCTGGTCATGCTGGCTCCAAGCAGAGTCTCTGCTCTCCGGTACTTCTGCTTGCTCTTCCAGAGGATGTTGTATTTCCCTTGCCCTGGGCTATGAACCTCCTGGACATTTATCTTCTTTCCTCTGAGGAAAGGCAGCTGAGAGAGTGTAATGATCCCTCCAAACACACTTTACAACCTAGAATATCTATTCCATATAAAACTACTCTAATGGCCAGCTTTTACAATTTCCAATACTTTACAGGGATTTAAGCTCTGTGCTGGTACTTGCCAGGAATATGAACTGTGGTGTGTCAGCTTTTGGGGGCTGTCCCTCCTGTGCTGGGCTGACAGGTAGCTTGAAGGGGAGCTGGTCTAGCGGGCAGGATTGGCTGAAAACTGTTCAGAAAACAGTGTGCTTAGGGTGAGTCACCTTCCTCTGGAGGTGATGCTTCCAGCCAGCCACAGACACATGATAAATTAAAAGTGACATTAATCTACTAACCCTTAGGCCAATACAGTTAGCAGAGCTGATTGTACCAAGAGGGGGATGAAGTTAGCCTGGTTAGGATTCTCTGAGGCTCTGGATTTTAGAGATCTTGGGGGGTGCTGATCTCCCAAACATCCCCAAGCTGTGAGTGGAATTCAGAAGCCCTCACTGGGCTGATCCTTAGAAGGAGTCCAGAGCAGGTCTGATGCCCCACAGAATGGCTTTTTCCAGGCCACACTGGAAACAGAAGAGGTCTTGCCTTGTGTAGCCCCACCTGTGAAGAGATGATGGCCTTGTACAGGGAAATCTGCAGAGCCTTTCAATTTTTCCTTATGTTTTCCATTCCTACTTGATATTTCTAGCTAGGGCTAGTTTTCTTCTTTATAAGTTCAGATAAAGAGCTGCCTCCCCCAACAAACCTCAGTCTTTGCTTGGGTAACCAAAGACCAAACTGTTCTCGCTCTGGTGGCATTTGGTGTTTGATTATTTTGGGAAGCTTTTTGGAGTGAAGATGCCCAATCCCATAAGAGAGCAGCAAGTCTGGTGTAGCCAAACAGCATTGCAGGCCTCAGCTTGTCCTCCAGGCTCCATGAAATGTGTGAACAAGCTGCCAGCAGCCATGGTGGGTGTGAAGAGCAGCTCCTGCTTACTTTGGGATGTGTGAATATTTTGACCTTCTTAGGGCTTCCCATTGCTATGTTTTAGGGCCTGATTTCTGACATGGCTCTGCATCTCCCAGCTTGTGCCCAGTTCTCTTGCCTAATTGACTCCAAATCTGAACATGAGATCAGGTTTGGACACTTCTCCATGTGCTGGGGTGTATGTTTGTGTGGATGAAGAGAACAGACATAGCTCAAAACATCTAGGAGAGGATAACTCATCCTATTCCTTCCTCCTTACCATCTTTTCAAGGTGATTCCTCCTTGTTGCTTCCAGCAAGCCACTGGAAGGACTAGAATCTCTGGAGATGTCCCTTCTGGAGAGCCACCCAAGTTAGAACCAGCTGGTGAGCTACAACTTTCACATTTGAGATTTCTTTTCAATGGTGTATGAATGAAAAGTCTGCATGTCCAGTGAGTTGTGCTTATGTTTGGTTTTGGTTGGGTTTTTTTTTTGGGGGGGGGGGGAAATGAGGGCTAAATGAATTATGCTGTTCAGGTAGAGGTAAGCAGCTGATGGTTGTGGAAATTCAAGGTCTTGGAGACCTGCATGAGTTGAGAATATGGGAGAACCAATTTTGAGTCCATGTTCAGCTTGATTCAGAGCAATGTTGAGCTTTTCCTTCTCTTAGGCTCATGGCCTAAGGAGCCTCTCTTCTGATCTGTGCTTGAACTCCCCTAACGTTATGGATCCATCTCCTTGAAGAAGGTTGGAAACATTGAAGTAGCACTTTTGACTCTCTTTTTTCACAGTCGTGTTGTATTGGGGCAGGTTTGGTTATGACTGAGAGAGTTAGTAGGAGGATGCTATGGAAATGCAAGCCTGGGCAAGGAGGAGGAAGAGGAATGGAAATGTATTGTAAAACTATTGCTTCAATGGGAGGGGAGGGTGTTTGCCTAGGAATGTTTTGAAGGACTGGTGCTCAGTGGGCTGACGGAATCCAGTCTGTGATGAACTTCTTGGAAGATTTGATGGTGCTTAGAAGTTTAGACTGGAGACCCACCAGTAACACCATTCTTTCCTTTTAATGAGGGCAGAGTTTATCATTATCCTTAAGGAGGAGGACCAGATCCTGGACTAGGGTAGGGATGGTAGTGCCCAGCTCTCCCTGGAAGGCTGGGGCTGGCCTGGGTGAGCTACAGATTTTACTTGTCTGCCCTTCTCCTTATTCCAGCACACAGTCACCTCCAGCTCAGCCCAGACTCTGTGGCTCATCCCTTGTGAAGGACACAATGAAATCTTGCCCAGGTGACAATCTCCAGGGACTGCTTTGCAAAGACTTGCCAGAGCTGTGGCAACCACAGACTCACTTAAATTCCAACAGAGAGCTAGTTGGTGCCAAATCCCATTTGTATCACTGAGAAAAATGGTAAAATCATTGTTAGGTGTTCACTAAAATACTCTAAATTTTAGAGAACACGAAGCATGAGTCAGGCATTGAAACCAGCATCCAAAGGAGGGAGGGAGTGGCGAGAGGCAGCAGGAGTGCTTATGAAATATTTTGTTTCACTGGCAAGTGGACAAGAAATAATTGGGCCTTAAATCAAGGAAATGGGAGAATAGGAACAGCAAATCAAGGGAAATGGTGGAAAATTAGGTCTTAGAGTAGAGAAATGTGTACACATGATCACCTGGTGGTTCTGGCAGAGATATAGGCCCATAAATCTTCTCTTTTAACCTCTTCTCTGTTGCCTTATGGGGAATAGTGTCAGGCTTGCTGGCCCCATCCATCTTTTCTAGAGACTACTGGTTTTGGTTTCAACTTGCTTGGTGCTGAGCACCCACCGAGTGGTGTGAATCTGCTTTAGAGCTGGAGAGGGAGCTCCCAGCCTGTCTGAACTCATTGGTGCAGCCTGGAGACTGTGACCCCCAAGAGAAGATCCATCCTGTATGTGGATGGTTGGGATGAGCCACAGAGGACACTCTCCCAGAGCTGTAGTGTATGGGTACACACTCACAGATGTTAAAACCTAGAAGAGTAAGGTAACCTCTCTATAGAGACCCTGGCACATCCTTGATATTTAGGCACAGGACATCTCAGCAGGTTCTTCTTCCAGCTGCAAAATCTGCTATTAAAAAAAAAAAAAATTAAAAATCTCTTATATACCTCCCCTAAGGTCCCAGGCTTATTTTTCTTATAAAAATAATGAAATGTAAAAATAAAGCTTCCCCTGTTTGCTTTCTGCCAGCCATCCCTCCCTTTGCACAGTGCTCATTAACTCCCCTAACACTCGAGTCAGACACGGCCTCTGGTTAAAAACAGCAACCGCCCTTGTGCCTTGCCTGTTTCCCAGGAGCTGACAGCCAGACAATAACACCAATGGGATCATATTCATCAGAAGATGTCAGCCCCTCTGTAAAATTTACATAACTTGAATTTGGAGTTGGGGTGGGGGGAGCGGAGGGAAGCAGATCAAAAAATAAATAAAGAATGTTGGAAGAAGAAGTGGAAAGAGGAAAGCTGCTGTTTGGGAGAGGCTGCTGGAGAAGCTGCCTATCTACACATCCCTGCTGAAGGATCTTTTGGGCAGGTAGGATTTTCTGTTCCAGGATCACAGGTGATGTGAGTTTTGTTGCTGCATCAGGTTGGACTTGATCTTGGAGGTGTTTTCCAACCCCAGTAATTCTGTGGTTTTCCCCAACACAGCCTTTCTGATCCACTCTGATGCCTGGGGTGAGAGTACTCAGCAAGAGTAAGGTGTTAAATTATTCTGTCAGAAACAAAAGTCTCTGCTGAATGTTGTTTTAAAACAGCCAGCCTGGGCCACATGGTTTGTGGAGCTCTATTAGATAAAAACATTGTCTTCTGGTATTCAGGCAGAACGGGGGTGTTCAGAATTGTCTTAACACAATAACTGCTCCTGCAAAGCCTTTAATCTGATTTTGTTTGGCTGTTGGTACATCCTGGTGGGAATCTGATGCTGGCCCACCCTTGGCTGCTCTAGGGCAGCTGCCCAAGGAAGGCAAGCCCAAGCCCAGGGTGTAAGGACTGTTAGGGTGACACTGCTCATCTCCAATTCCTGCTTGAAATGGCTGCATACCCAGGGGCAGCCTTCCCCAGAGGGAAGGGGAGAAAGCCATCACTCACTGCTTTGGTGTGGGAGCAATTGTATCCTATTTGGGCATCTGGGATGAGGCTCCTGAGCTATCTGGAGGAAGCTCCTTCACTGTGGCTGTCGACATAGCCCAGTCTGGTGTTACATGGCCTTGGGGTTCAGTGCTTAATGCTATCGTGGATCCCCTTTCAAGGCCTGGACATTGGGGTATTTGGTTTCTTTTAGTTATCATGGCTCCAAAGTGATGCAGAGGAGTGAACATTTGTGCCAGCAGCAGCTGAGGGTATCAGCAGCTGTCTGGGGCCATTATGCAGAAGTTCAAGTCCTGGCCAGCGTGCTGAGTCCTAATGATCCTCGACTGAAGGCATGTCCGAGATGTGTCAGGCAAAAACTTATTCTTTATTAGTTTATGCTTTTTTGCATGTGGGAGATGCTGTTTGAAATGAGTGTCTGGGCACAACAGCTATTCTGCCTGCTTTTCCATCACCTCGCTCTCTCTGCCTGTTTGTTTGCTATTGTGCCTGTATTTTTTTTTTCTCTCCCCCTTGTTTCATCTCTGGCATAAGAAGTTATTCAGCCCCCGAGTGCGCGGCAGCCTATTGTGCACAGAGAGCTGCAGCACAAAGGATTCCACAGACAATCTTGTTCCCTCTCGCTGCCCAGCCAGATTCAGAAACACATCTGCAAGTCTTAAAAGGAGTTATGCTCTGTTTGACTGCAGCTTAAAGCACAGGGAATAGGGAAGAGAGAGGCCTTTCAGGAGCTTGGTGGGCTTTATCAGCCCGCTCATGTCCTGTGGCACAGCTGCAGCCCAGCCCATGGAGATGTTAGTGAATGCTCATGTTTGAGATGGAGATTTACTTTGCAGCTGGTCTGAAGATAAGCAGTGGACAAGCTCTCCCTGTGAGAACCTCTGGTTTGTGGGGTATGGAGATGCCCCCTCAGGCAGGCTGCAATTTAGCAGTAGAATGGCGGCCTTGGTGGTGTGTGAATGCTCATTAGTCCTGATCTTCAGCAGGGCTCAAATGTGGGCGCAGACCTCCTTAATTGCTTTCCTGCAGTGGCAGCTCTGAATGACACTGTGCTGTAGGCATGGATCTACTTCCTCAGCAGAAGCTTCATGTTTTCCAGGGCTCCCATTGTCCAGAGAAGTGCCTGTGCAGGGACACCAGAGGATGTGTTGCCAGCCCTGGCACGTGCTGGCTGTCAAGGGCACTTGAAGCACAAGAGACAAGTTCAGGAGGCCTGGTTTCCTACATCTCCCAGAGCTGTCACAGCTAAGCCTGCCTGAATGCTGTCTTGACACTTGGCATAACCCCAGCTTCCATAGCAGGGATGGGAGAAGCTCTAAGCTTGGGTTCTGCAGGTCAGTTTAGTCACTGGTCTGTTTGAGTACAGCTCTGGCCCAGCTGGGGCAAAATGGGGTTTTTCTGACTACAGAATAACAGGATAGTTGGGATTGGAAGGGGCCTTACAGATCTTCCCATTCCATGGGAATTCCAGTGGGTAATTCCGTGTCCAACACCTCCTACTAGACCAAGTTGCTCTGAGTCCTGTCCTGCCTGGCCTGGAACACTTCCAGGGATAGGGCAACCACAGCTTTTCTGGGCACCCTGTGCCAGGGCCTCAGCACCCTCGTAGGGAAGAATGGTTTGCAAATATCTAATCTAACCTTATCTCTTTCAGTTTAGAGCCATTCCTCCTCTTCCTGTTGCTCCAGAACCTTGTCCAAAGTAATTTTCCAGCTCTCTTGTAGCCTCTCTCAGCATGGGAAGGGGCTCTAAGGTCTCCCTTCTTCTTCAGGCTGCACAGCTCCAACTCTGCCCTGCTATCTCCATTGGAGAGGTGTTCATCCCTCTGAGCATCTTTGTGGCCTTCCTCTGGACTTGCTTCAAGAGGTTCACATAAACATGTGGAAAACCAGGGAAACCCCTAATCTCTAGATCTGCACAGATGGGGGGGTTGGTTAAACCCATGCCACTAATCTTTCCTTGCTCCAGTCTTGTGAGACAAAGTATCTCACGGATCAGCCTTCGAGTTGAGACGTGCTCTGTGAAATGTTGGGATTTGGATGACCTCTTCCATTTCACCTCGGATGCTGCTGGAGTTCAACGCTGCACCGAAATAGGAGAAGAGGAGGTGTCCAAACAAGTGGCAGGGACAAACAGCTTTAAAAAAAGCTCTATCTTTGCAGAGTGCTGTTTCTTTTAACCTTTAAAGACTTTGCCTTGCTTCTTTTCAAAGCCTCCTGCTTTGATTTCCTGTTCACAGTTGTCTTTCTGGCAGCCCATGGAAGAAAGGAGACATGGATGAGGGTTAAAGAACAGCTGCAGGAACATAATTAATGCTTTGCAACATTTCTGAAGGCCTTTAGCACCTTGCCGTGACCCAGCCTGTAACATCTGTGCGTTGGCATCAGCCAAGCTGTAAAACTCCCCTCCTCCAAGTACTGCACAGAGCAACTGTCTCCTGCCTGAGGCGTGCAATCAGGGCAAAAATGAAACAAATCAGTACAAAAGGCAGGCTGGAACACAGATGGCAGGTCCTTGGGTGCTGGGCTTGGCAGTGGTAAGGGGCCTCCAGCTGTTGATCCTTGTTAGGTTTCCAAGGGGGGAGGTGGACGAATGCTGCTTTTGCGGAGATTTGATAGGAGAAATAGGACACAGCCAAATCTGAGCATCCCTGCATTCTCCTGTGCTCTCCCCCACAGAATGGGTGTGGGCCAAAGGCAGAGCCACAGCCCTGCCCAGCGCTGTCAGGATGATTGCCTGTGCAGCTGTCACCTAGCCCAAGGGAGGCCAAATGTGTCCCCATTTGGATCATGTTTATCAAGGACTGTCTTTTGCAGCACTTTTCCCTTTATGTGGATAAAGGGCACCTTCAGGGCTTGTCACCCTCATTTTTATGTGAGCTGTAGCTCAGTACAAAGGAGACACATAATTCCCTAGGGTTCCAGCTAGTGCTCTCCTTTCAGTCCCAGACCCAAGGCATAGCTGGAGCTAACTTGGTGACCAAAGAGAAGATGAACAAAACCATTTTGTTTTTGAAGATTAACTTTTTTCTTCTTCCATATCTCCTGTTTCCTCCCTGTTTCACTGCAGTCAGCCTCGCTGAGTTTCCAACCTTCAAAGCCCATTGTATCCAGCTGGACAGCGGCAAGCTTGCCAAGGGAAACTGTTTGTCCTTTGCTCTTTTTGGTTTTCTGAGAGGCCTGTGACTGTAGTAGATGCCAAGCAGCCCTGACCTTCACCTGACTGGAGTTCCCAGCTGCTGCAGTGTTATTACACCATCTCTCCCTGATAAAAATTCTGCTTTGTTCCTTGTACCTGGAAATTTTATATGACAAATGTGTCTAATTTCTAATTCTAGCCTCCTTTAGGTGGACTAGAATGTCTGCTGCCTGGGAGAGGTTTGTAGATCTGAAAGGCTGGAAGGAAGCACTGCATTTCTCTCTGCCTCCTGTTAGAAATGTGCCAGAGACACATTTGAATTTCAGCCAGGTAGCTGGAAGGGATTGCATCTTCTCAGCACCTCCTCTGATGGACTACCCAGCTTTGCTTCTCGTCATGCTTCTCTGTACTTCTCTTCCTTAGGGCAGGAGGGAGGTGTTGCTGGAGAGACCAACTTTCTTTAAAGAAATCTCATGCTTCACCAGTCAGATGAGGTTGTTTTGCTGCATGTCTGATGATTTTTCTCCCCTTTGGAAGGAAAAGTGGCTGGGTTTGCAGTAGGCTCCCTCCTGGTAATAAAAATGATGGGATTACTTCAGGGATGGCAGCTGGGGAATTAGTCCTGAGTACCAACATATTATAACATCTCAGACATCTTTGTTTATGCAGCTCAAACAATGCCTGAGCCACAACATCCCTGTGGGTTGGTGAGCCCCATCAGGTCTGTGGGCTCCTAGGGCACTTTGGGGGCAGATCTCTGGTTTTGCAGCAGCTGTGGGTTTAACTCTGTGTCTGTAAGCTACATGCCTATGCACTACTTTCCTCAGTGGGGAGGAATACGAATTACTGCCTTGCTGAGATGGCTTGGCTATGTTTAGATTTCTGGTGCTGAATTATCTTTCCTTTGGCTGGAATTCATAAGGAGGTATTGTGGGGGTTTTTTTCTGGTGTTAGTGCCCTCGGGTCCTAATTCTTGACCAGCTCCTTTTGCTGGATGCTATGCAATCACTTTTTCACCCTGTAATCAGGGTGTTTTTTAAGGCAACTGGAAGAAGCCATAGAGTATTATTTTCATTTGGGAATTGCAGCTGAAATAGAAAGTGCCTTGCTCTGGTGGTCAGTTCAGTGTCAGATGTGTCCAGCTGTGCTGGTTGGAAAATGGAAAGCAAGTTGTTGCAGGCTACATGAAGGAGAAAAGGAGAGAGAATAATCATGGGGGAGCGAAAGCTGAAATTCTCTGAAGATCTGGTGTCAACAGTCAGGAGTATGGGGGGACACTTCAGGCTCTGCAAGCACATCAGAGGC